ATGTAGCGAAAAAGATTGGAATGCTATTGCTCGCAAAAATACTATGAGTTCAAATCCCATTGGCTCCAAACGTTCATCTTTACAGAGACATTCACAGCGCAGTTTGAGACGCCGCATTTTAGAACAAGCCAACGAAGGTCTTCATATGAATCAAAATCAACTTATAGGTAAATATATATTAAGAAAATAACCTAATTATATTATCACTATTGAGTTTTTTTTTTTTTTTTTTCTACAGAATACAATCCCACTCTTGGAGAAGTTACAAGGGCTACTCGTGTTGCATATGTCAAATTCATGAAAAAGAAAATGGTAGCTGAAGAAGGTAAAGAAGCTGAAGAACTCAAAACAAGTGATGCAACTAACGCCACAACAAAGGATGAAAAGCCCAGCACTAAAGCCACATTGAAAAAAACAGACGTAATTTGTGATCAATACAAAATTTAAACTATTGATAATAACTTAACTTTTCTGTAATTTAAAGGTTAAGAAAGATGATGCCGCTAAACCAGCTGCTGGAAAACCACCAGCTCCAGCTGGAGATAAGGCCAAACCAGCGGCGCCTGCTAAGCCGGGAGCTGCCAAACCTGCTGATGCTAAGGCTGCTGCACCCGCTCCACCCAATAAACCAGCAGATGCTGCTGCTAAACCTGCTGTAGCTAAACCCGGGGCAGAAACCAAACCTCCTGCAGCAGCTAAAAAGGAAGAAACTGCTAAAACCGCTGGTGCCAAACCTGAAGCACCTGCAGCAGCTGGAGCGGCAAAATCTGCTACTCCCAGTGCACCCGCAAAACCGGATGCTGCCACCAAACCTCCTGGCGATGCTGCCAAAACAGCTACGGATGCCGCTACAAAGGCAGCTGATGGTGCTGATAAGAAAGCAACCGACAAGAAACCCGATGACAAGAAAGCCGATGACAAAAAACCCGATGACAAGAAGCCCGATGACAAAAAGCCAGACGATAAAAAACCCGAAGCCGCTGTTAAGAAACCAGATGACAAAAAGGATCCACCTGCCAAGCCAGCAATTAAAGTTGGTCAAAGTAGTGCTGCTGCCGGCGGTGATCGTGGTAAATCAGTTGTTACTGGTCGCATGATATCGGGTTGGCTTTAAACTATTTTATATGATTATTTATTTGAAATTTAAAAGAAATAAAACTGATAATTTTAAAATTCATTTACTTTTCGTTTTTTCCAATATCTTAAAAAGAGTTTTTTAAACCGGTTCTTGTAACCTTATGACATATTTTTAGCAACTGAAACCGAATCTGATATCTGTTTTTCTCTATCACCCACAATTTTCTCGCAAAATGACATTGAATATTTAGTTCACATATAGCATTTAAGGGTTAATTTCGATGTCATCATAAAAACAGGTCTTCATTATATATATATTCTAATTTACAATATTGCATAGCTTGAGTTTGACCTTCACAGTTTATCCCATAAACATTATTCGATTTTACTAAAACTTCAGATTTATGTTTCCCGTTATCTGGAATTTTATATTCTGAAAAGGTTTTATATAAAATGCATAACAGTAACGAATCAAAAATATTACCAAAAATAATTTTCTCCGAAATCCTCAAAATTTAAATTGTAGGTACGGATAATCTATGGGAGGTATCGCTCTAATTTCTTTACTATTTGATTCCCTTCTTTATTGTCCATAAGTCACATGGAGATTTTATCAAAATTTCAAAGTTTACTTAACAAAATTGTTAAAAGTTTGAAACTGGAGTTTTAAAACTGCCGTCTGAAGGGTCTTTCATTTATGACTATACCCCAAATACACTATATATTGAAAATAAAAACTCACATTTAAGTTAATACTTATTAACTTTTAATGTAATGATATAGATATAATAGAATATTTCCCAAAAATGTTATGTGACACTAAAAGATCTGAGAAATTCTAAAATTGTTGTGTTTTATATCTTATTGGAACGATGATTGGATATATCTTCCAATTATTTGCTGATAAAATCCAAAAATTTATATTAAGGGGTCAAATTTTTTAAAAAAAACATTTTGCACTTCAGAGCCCTGACGCCACCAGTTAACGTAGTTCTATCGTCCGAATTTTTTCAGAATGCTCTTTTCTAACTTAGAGTTTAAGTCTAGAGGCAGAGACGGTCAATATTCGTAACTTCTGTAAAATTAAAGAATTGAATATTTGAGACACAAGTCTACAGTCACGGGGACTGAAATATCAAAATGTTGAAAATTGGTGAGTGGAACGATCAAATACTAGGATTAGTGAAAATTATTTAAAAGTTTATTCATCATTGGCTTGTGTTATTAATTGCTCTTGTAGTTTGAAGAACTAGTTTGATATGACTCCATTTTAAGTTCAGATAACCAATAAATAACACGAAGAAACAGCGCATTTCTAGAAAATATTGAAAAAGAATTCATAGTTTTCACTTCACTTATTTTGAAAAAAATAGCTATGTTTCACAATATCCATAGAAAATGTTGTCTAGAAATGGGTAGAAAAAACACTTAGTTTCTAAATTATTCACTTTTTTTATCTGAAATTTTAAATGTTTTCCCATCTACCAAAATTCTGTAAAAGCTTGTCTCTACATCATCCTTTACTCTTTAATTCTTAGCATAATTAATGAACCACATAAAATTGTTTGTAAAAAATAATATTTTTTTTATTATTTTAAATAATTTCTGCCCTGAATCTCTCAATTCGAAAGCAATATATAAAAAAGGAAGTGTTTCCCTGCAAGTCCTCAAACAGACTATTAATATAGCAAAAATACTAAAAATATATTGCAACATTTGATTTTTTTCGTCGCAGCAACATGTTGCTAATGAAACAACTTTATTAAAATGTACCTGTTGCGTTAAAAAAACAAACGCAGTTGAATCGTTGAAACGCCTGCGCATTTTTATGCAAATAATTACTTTTTAAACGCAAAATATGAATGCAAATAAACACTAATATTAAACAAACACACGCAAATTTCTATTTAGTAAATAATATTAGAAAATATAAACAACAACAATAGTAACTAAAATAATACTTATTGAATATTCAAATATAAACCAAATACTAATTGTTGTACAAGATACAAACAACCTACAGAAACGGTAGCAAAAAAATTAAACGATACGAACAGCATCTCATTATTCCCCAAAATACATATTCGTCATACATAAAAAATACGTTGTTGTATTGATGTTTCAGTTTTTTATTAGGATGGTCCCAACTAACACGGAGTTATGATTTAGTATCTAATACTGTTGGGGAAAAACGAAGTGTCGTCTGGTTTAAGTTTTGAACTTAGACCTCACTTACCCACAAAGATATGGGCCAGACGTTCCATGTATGTAAAATATTGAAAATGATTCCTTTCCTTATGTTTAAGTTCAGTTCTAGTTTAGTTCTAGTTCAGTTCAGTTCTAGTTCAGTTCTAGTTCAGTTCTAGTTCAGTTCTAGTTCAGTTCTAGTTCAGTTCTAGTTCAGTTCTAGTTCAGTTCTAGTCCAGTTCTAGTTCAGTTCTGGTTCAGTTCTAGTTCAGTTCTAGTTCAGTTCTAGTTCAGTTCTAGTTCAGTTCTAGTTCAGTTCTAGTTCAGTTCTAGTTCAGTTCTAGTTCAGTTCTAGTTCAGTTCTAGTTCAGTTCTAGTTCAGTTCTAGTTCAGTTCTAGTTCAGTTCTAGTTCAGTTCTAGTTCAGTTCTAGTTCAGTTCTAGTTCAGTTCTAGTTCAGTTCTAGTTCAGTTCTAGTTCTAGTTCAGTTCTAGTTCAGTTCTAGTTCAGTTCTAGTTCAGTTCTAGTTCAGTTCTAGTTCAGTTCTAGTTCAGTTCTAGTTCAGTTCTAGTTCAGTTCTAGTTCAGTTCTAGTTCAGTTCTAGTTCAGTTCTAGTTCAGTTCTAGTTCAGTTCTAGTTCAGTTCTAGTTCAGTTCTAGTTCAGTTCTAGTTCAGTTCTAGTTCAGTTCTAGTTCAGTTCTAGTTCAGTTCTAGTTCAGTTCTAGTTCAGTTCTAGTTCAGTTCTAGTTCAGTTCTAGTTCAGTTCTAGTTCAGTTCTAGTTCAGTTCTAGTTCAGTTCTAGTTCAGTTCTAGTTCAGTTCTAGTTCAGTTCTAGTTCAGTTCTAGTTCAGTTCTAGTTCAGTTCTAGTTCAGTTCTAGTTCAGTTCTAGTTCAGTTCTAGTTCAGTTCTAGTTCAGTTCTAGTTCAGTTCTAGTTCAGTTCTAGTTCAGTTCTAGTTCAGTTCTAGTTCAGTTCTAGTTCAGTTCTAGTTCAGTTCTAGTTCAGTTCTAGTTCAGTTCTAGTTCAGTTCTAGTTCAGTTCTAGTTCAGTTCTAGTTCAGTTCTAGTTCAGTTCTAGTTCAGTTCTAGTTCAGTTCTAGTTCAGTTCTAGTTCAGTTCTGTCAGTTCTAGTTCAGTTCTAGTTCAGTTCTAGTTCAGTTCTAGTTCAGTTCTAGTTCAGTTCTAGTTCAGTTCTAGTTCAGTTCTAGTTCAGTTCTAGTTCAGTTCTAGTTCAGTTCTAGTTCAGTTCTAGTTCAGTTCTAGTTCAGTTCTATTTCAGTTCTAGTTCAGGTCTAGTTCAGTTCTAGTTCAATTCTAGTTCAATTCTAGTTCAGTTCTCGTTTTTTATTAGTTCAGTTATAATTCCAAACTACTTTTTTTAACCATCCTACTGTACATGTATTTTTGTTGCGGCATTAAGAAAACAACTGAAAAGTAGCAATAGAACAGTAACAACAAACATCAACAAATGGATTTCAATTGGTAGTTTATGTTACAATTTTCAGTTTTGGTTGCTCGGAATCTCTATGAGAATTTGTTTTGTTTGTTTGCAATACAACATCTGTGTGTATGTTCGTGCATAGATTTATTAATGTGTATGATAATGATGATGTTGAAAACGATGTTGTTGTTCTTTTTGTCGTCATTGTCGTAGAAGTGATGATGCCGCTGCTTAGGGCCATACCTTTTGTCATTTTCATATAAAAGGACATTTCTGTAGCAGTTTTTAAGCATAATTCGTTTGAACGTTCTCTAAAAAACAACAAGCATAAACATCTTTTTTTAGTTCAAACTTGAATGAAAAAGAATTATATTTTTGTGTAAATAAAAATTTGTGATTAAAACTAAAGAGTGTCATCTAACGTCTTTTTTACAAAAGGATATTGGAATTTTGTTCATATATCAAACCGATATTAAAAAAAGTTTATCAAAAATGAAATCGTTTAATTCTGTGGATTTTGTTATGTGTTCCCTAGTAGTTATTGCCATTGTAGGATCTTCAAAAGCGGGTAAGTTTTTTGTTTTGATTTTTAATGTTTTTAAACATAAACTTGACAACTTGGAATATTAAAAATAATTTTTAAAATAATTAAATATGCAAAATTAAAGTAACTTAGCCAACGTCATTAAATGAACTTTATGTTAGAAACCTTTAATATATTATTGTGAAATAAACTTGAATATCAAAAAAAAAAAATTATTGGAAGAGATATTTAAATAAATAATGGAATTTTAAAACTTAAAACAATAGAATAAAGTGAAAGATAGTATCAGACAGTCTAACAAAGATATTTTAATTTATTGATAAAAGTCGAAATTTTAACTTAAAAAACTTTGAACTGATTACTTTTTTAAAACACTTTTATCAATTTTCTTTACTTTACAATTTAATTCAATGAATAAGGTTTCCAATTATTGATGTCAAAATTTATCGAATTCATTTCTGAGTTATTTCAAAAGTGATTGCCAATCTTTTAAGAACGTGGAATGTGAATTACTTATATGAATTTTCATTATTTAACAATTTTGATATAATATCTATTCATCGCTATACATACATACATACAGACATATATGCATAACGTTGTCCAGCATTTGGACATAAAAAATTCAATATTACGTAATATATGTATTAAATTTCTATGTTTTAAAAATATTTAGTTAATGACAATTTCTGTTAGGCAATAGCTGCCAGAAATAATTAATAATTATGTGAGATGAAACTCATTTAAGATTATATTTCATTTATAGAAATTTAATTACATATTTTTACGAAAGAAATTATTACTGATACATTTCATACTTGACTTAGTTCTAGTTCAGTTCTAGTTCAGTTCTAGTTCAGTTCTAGTTCAGTTCTAGTTCAGTTCTAGTTCAGTTCTAGTTCAGTTCTAGTTCAGTTCTAGTTCAGTTCTAGATTAGATCTAGTTGTGTTCTAGTTCAGTTCTAGTTCAGTTTTATTTCAGTTCTAAGTTAAGTAAAGTTTTAATTGACGAAAGAAAATTTCAATAGAAATTTTTAAAAAATGCAATAAACTGTGTGAAGTTTTAGCATTTAAGTACATTTACATGTATGTGTATGTACAAAAGTATATGTTATTATTTTGGGATCTATTAGAAAAAACAAAACAATAATGATGGATGTTTGTAAGTATGTGGAAAACATAAACATAGATTTCAATAATTGCTTCAAATGACACGTAACGTAAACTAAAGAAGATTAGAGAAACACTAACTATTCATTGCACAAAAGGACTTTAGAAGGTGTTAAATATCCTGTGACATCAATACAGAGTAAACTCATATTTACACCAATACAGCTTTACATCCTACACACATAAACACCCCTTAGTGTATGCTTAAAAAAAATAAAAATAACTGACAGGAGAAATGGCTTAAATGACGAAAATAATGCTGCTAAAAAGAACAAAAAAAATTAATTATAATGTTAACCTAATAATTAACAACTTAATACAATTTGCTACTTTTTATTTTTAGTACTTTTTTCCAACAAAAGTAGAAAAATATTAAAATAATGCAAAAACAATAGGGAAGTTGAACTTTATTTTACCCGGGTAAACGTATTTAGACATGAATGAATATAAAAATATATTAAAACAATTTACCTTATAATAATGGCAAAATAAGCTTCAATGTCCCTTAACGGAGATATTGTGAAATTATGTAAATTTCTTTTTAACTTAGAAGGCAAAAACGAAACCTCAAATAGATTTGAGATTTTTGTTTTTTAAATTCTTTACAACATTTAACTGCAAGAAGTCTTTGTAGGTTTAAAAACCAATAGAGTTGTTTAAACTGTTTTTGTGTGTATGTATTTGTATATTGTGGAGGTGGATATTGTGCATAAATTATTGGCCTAAGGAGCGATTGATTGCTATGGCTTAATAGTCCATCATAGAATAAAGTACAAACATCAATAGATTAATTTATACATATGTTTTATTATGTTATTTATATTGTTTGATTTTTCTTCATTTTTTGTTTTTTTTAATTTTTTTTAAGTTCATGGTTCCTGGAAATACTCTCCCCGAGAGAATGGTAAGATATAAGTGATTATTTTTGTTATTTTATTTTTATGGTTGAAGATTAAAAGTCAAAAGATTTATGGTGTCATGAAATTCTTATGTATTAAAGTTTTACACCATATAGAATCAAGTTCCTTTATTTAAAATTTTTTGGTCCTACACTCACCTTAAAGTATATCAATCGGCTCAGAACTTTTTGAGTCGATTTAGCCATGTCCGTCTGTGTGTCCACCCTACAGATCACAATTTTCAAGATAATTTGATGAAATTTGGCACATACTTTTTAGACCCAAGGACGAAGCCTATTGAAAATGGTTAAAACCGGTCCATTTTTTCGTCTAGTCCCCATACAACCGTATCCCCGAATAGAGGTTTTAGACTCATAATTAGGTTAAATGTTCTAAAATTAGTTTTATATAAGTCTAAATAATACTGCCGATTTTTCGTAATGATCAAACCTCATTTGACTCTAGCCTCTATGTATATAAAGTTCCCTTGAGGGTCAAAATTCATTTACAAACACTAACATCACAATTTAATGTAGGCGTTAATCCTACTACTCACTGGTGAAGGGTATCATATGGTCGGACATGCCCGACTACACATTCTTACTTCTTTTGACTTAAGTTCTTTTAACATTTTCCCACTAATATTCACTTTTATGTGTTAAAGTATGTTTTTGACATAAAGCTCATAAAATATTCATTTACGTATTATTATTTACTCCCTTTCTAAACTTTCTAAACACTGACCAAAATCTTTACTTTTTCCAGCAATTACTTTATAATTTTTTTTTGTCAAATATCTTTTATCTTTAATAAGTCCCCAGAGTTAAATCAATTTGCTAGTGCTTAAATTCAACCAAGAAATGCTAATAATACTTCATAAAAAAAAACAACATGTTAAATATTTATTACAACAATTTGTTGCTTTTAAAAGTTATTTGGTATTTTTTTTTTTTAAATAAACCACCGTTACAATTTCATTTGAATATTTGTACACAAATACATAATTTAAAATGTTTTCATTGTTGTGTGTGTTTTCTTTTGTTTTCTATAGAATTAGAACAAACCAAAAATCGTCGTGGTGGTGGCGGTTCATCTGGACTTTTTGCTTTTCCCCGTGTTGGTCGCAGTGATCCCAGTTTAAACATCAATAATTTACATAACCCAGATGCGGCAGCTGACAATGCGGCAGCAGCCGCTGCTGCTGCTCTAGATGATTTATATCCTTCATCATCTTTTGAAGAGTATGAAGGTATGTAACGTCTTGTAGACTGATAGTCTTATGTTATTTGCCAAACCTAAAACAACAATATGTGGAATATATTAACCCTTGCATGTGTTTCTTTAGAATACCCCAAGTCTGATGTTAAGCGTGCCGGTTTGATTGTCTATCCCCGCATTGGTCGCAGTGATGCTGATGTACGCAAATGGGCCAGACTTTTGGCCTTGCAACAGGCCTTGGATAAACGTACTGGACCTAGTGCCACTACCGGTGTATGGTTTGGTCCTCGTTTGGGTAAACGTAGTGTAGATAATCAACAATATGAAAAACCTTCGGGTCAAAAAGAGGAATATTAATTTGTTACCGACTCTATGCAAACGATTAAAACAAATAAAAGACGACCTTGGCTATACTCAATATTGACTTGATTCTCACCTACTGGAACTTAATTTTCGAAATATATACACAAACAAAATAAAATTATATATACATATATTTTTAGTTAAATAATTGAAATTAATAATAAGCTAAAACCTCCTATTCAAATATATAAATTTATTTAAAATCGTTCACACTAACGTGTAGTGTGTTATTTGCAAAGAGATCAATTTTTGAATTTTATTTTTATTGTAATAAAACTTATAGATGTATAATTAAGCCTTATATTAAAAAAAACAAACTCCAAAATAATAAAAAAAAAATCATTTTAAATGGGCTGGTGTAGGCTTTCATTTTAGATCATTTTCATGATATTTAATGAAAGTCTTAAAAAAAAACATTTAATTGCGTTTATATTATATACCATAGAAAAATTGTAAAAAAAAGGAAAATTTTGTGTAAATATTTTTTAATATAATTGTATGTCTAACCGTACTATGTATTTTGCATACAAGTGATATTGTTATTTTATTGAATTGAATTTATCTGCAATGTAAAATATTTATAAAATAAAATGCCGCACATTAAAATAAAATAAAAAAAAGAAAATAAATTAAATAAAGCAAATGCTCCCAGTAAATAGATAGTTTTTACTTAATAGGTTCAGTTCACACTTATCAAATATCAACATTTTAAATATTTTTTTGTTTTTTGACAAAAACATAATATATCTTTGAAGTTATCAATTTAGAACGTTTTTATTCTGAGATTATTTGCGATTACAAGAATCATATAGGATTTAACTATTAAAAGATAGTAGTTACGTATTTTTGGTCAAATATTTGATAGATGTGAACGTACCTTTACTCTTTGAGCAAGGATTCGAAATATTTTACAGAAGTAAAATTTTTATTTGTTGTTTAAAGTAATAGTGAATATCTTGACTGATCACGCTTCCTTTTAAAAGAAAAATCTACTCCAGTGCAATTTTCAGCCTATTGTTTTCTTCTATGAATTTAAGCAACACAATAAATTAAGGTTAAAATTCACCTTGTCATGATCGGAAAACTTAGACTGTAAGTGATATAAGTTAAAGAATATTTGCGTAATTATCAATCACACAGTAACTATTGTAACAAAAAGTGTCCACATCACAAAAGACATTTGATCCTAAACTAGAACTGTATTGGCATGATCTTTCGGTCTAACGTGTACAATTCCATAAGAAAACAAGTAAGAAAGTATAGTCGGGCGTGATCATATGATTCTCTACACCAGTTATGAATATTAAATTTGATTTATTTTTCATAATAAATCATCTTCAAGCATCATTCAAGCATCTTCTTGTTCTGATACTTTTAAGCAATTTATGGATGAAAAACTAATTTTCTGAAAGAGGGTTTATATGGGGGCTAGGGGCAAATATGGACCAAGCCCGGTAAAATTTTGTGAATATATTTATATAATATTTATTTGCGGTGAATTTCATCGCGATATTTGAGTTTTGGACATTCAAGTAATTTCCTGAAGGGGACTTTGTATGGGAGCTAGGGTTAAATGAGGCCCCATCTGTATAAAACTTAGTTGTGCCGCTTTTTATCGATATAGCTTAATCGACACAGAAAACGATTCTAAGCCCATTGGTATACTTTAAGGTGGGAATAGGTAGAATATTTTTGTATATTACAAACATCAGCACAAACCCAATATACCCTCCCCACTAAAGTGGTGTAGGGTATAATAATAACAAATTTGTAACTAAGTTCATAAAAGGCGTTAAGATCTTCAAACTTTAAAAGATGCGTATAAGAATAGACGAATACTTATAGTATAGTTTATGTCTCAATCAAAATTTCGAAGCGATCTTCTCCAGTCTTTATCTGAATGAACTTTATATTAAGTTCTTAAAACCAATAGTTTATACATACATATCGTTATGTGTAGTAAAGTGTCCCGAGGACACACCTATCAAACGAAAGGTATTACTGTATTGAATACTGGAGAAATAAACAAGTACATATGATACCCCGAGTGAGTATGTTAAAAATGTGGATATTATTTTAATAATAAATATGTATGTGTGTATATATGAGGGTAAGGGTAAATAAGGGGGTGGCGTGTCTATTGTCCATAGACGTTATGACACACTAAATTTAGTCATAATGTTATGACCATTTCAAAAGTGTCACAATGTCCATGACCAATGTGACATAAAGTCCATGGATTTCAAATAGTCCATTTGTCAAAAAAGGCTTAATTTAGCAAAGCTGGTATTCTAAATATCTCAGGGTTAAAAACCACTGCGCCCGCCGCAGTGGTTTTTAACCAGTGGTAACTTTGATCAAAACATCGTACGATGTTTTGATCAAAGTTATTAAGAGGCGTTGAGTATTCAGAAAGTAGAATCACGGAGAAAGAAAGTCTAATATTGCTTCGTCAGATCGTGCACTTTCTACTACACTGGCAAATGTATCTCTAAATAGATGGTTTTAACACCACAAAAAAGTTTAAACTTCAACATGACATTAGTGACCCCATTGAAAAAAAAAAGTTTTTTTTTTTAATTTCTCATACATTGGATTTTTGACCTTTTTGGCCGTACCCAGGCGTAAATAAAATTTAAAATAACCAAATAACCATCTGTTAAACTTTCTACTATATTTAAATGCAATAATTAAAATTTCCTTTATACAAATAAGAAAAACTATAATTAAAATGTTCTTATTATAAAAATTACACATTATTTAAGTTTGTGCCTTGATGACAAAATTACTTGGGATCATTTTGAAATTTTCGCAATTCTTTTTGTATGGCCTCTATTAGGGGTGCTGTGGAAAGATCGTGCACAGGGCGGGCGGCCATATTAGTGCTGTGAAATTCAGCTGGACGATGAAATGGACCAGCACTCATGGGACGAACAAGAGGCGAGTGTGAGCCATGAGCACTGCCACCACCGCTACCCCAAGCACCTAGATTGGGTGAAGGTGGTTGTGTAGAATGATTTGATTTGGTAGTTTTTTCCGGTTGAGCTGTTGAAGGACGATTATCCTGAGCTGAAGACTTTAGATTACAGCTGTTGAAAAGGAAAATTAAAAATTTATGTAAATTTCAAAATATTTGTTTATGAAAATTACTTGGAAGCTCCAGCCGAAGAACCGCGTAATTCACGTTTTGTCGGTTTACGTTGATTGGTGAAATCTCTGTTGGGCAATGGCATGGGTAGATCATCTTGACTGGAATACATTTGCAAAGCGCCCTCTAGTAAGCCTTCATATTGATTACGCATAGCAGCTGGATCTCTTGAAGGGCTATAATAATCCATTTTCTTATGTTTATATACCTCATTATCCTCTTCTTCTATAGGTGAATGTTTGACAAACGATAGAGAAAATTCGAAAACAATAAATTATGTAGGATGTTATTAAAGAGTTCAGTAACGTTGTCTTCTTTCGTAATTACCATTGTCTAGGACATCATCGGCACTTAAACGTTTCTTATGTCGTTCCCAGACTATGGGACCAACAACTCCCGGATCGGGATTATCACTTTGTGAGGCAAATCGTGAAAACTTTTGTGGCGCTTTGGGTGTAGGAAAACTTTCAATGGTAGCTATGGTTGTGGAGTCTAAGGCATCCCTCGTAGAACGTTTCTTGTTTTTGGACGCAGCTTGATGAACATTTTCTATATTGTCATAGTAGGTGACAAAAACAGGTTCTAAAACACGATTTAAGGGTTCGGGCAAGGTTGTTTTTGGAAATGCTTTTACCGACTGCATAGACAAAAAGGAGCCTATGCTGCCCGAATCAGAAGATTTTTCGGCCGGTTGCAATGCTCTTATAATCTCCTTATTAATAGCTTCCGAATTTGCTTCTGCCGCATCATCTCTGTCGCCATAAATGGTTTTTTGATGTAATAATTTGTTGCGATGATAATTGTTGTGAGGATTATATGCTTCATTTGCTCTCTCGAAATGACCATATGATCGTCTAGCTTCATCATCCGAATAATCTTGTTGACTTTGTGCCGGGCTTGTTTCCAAAGAACCTACGCGATTTTCAGATAAGTAGCGACGTTTTGGTTTATGTTGCCTAGATTTGTCGCGTTTCTTTTCCGAAATCACCGTAGTATATACGGCATCCTCATGACCTTCAGCTCTGTCGTATCGATTGTGTCGTCTTGCCTTATGACGCTCAAATAGGTTGGCTGCCTTTTCATCGAGCATTCGTTGAACATCTGCTGTTGGTGGATTAATGGGACAATAGACAGATGAGTCGGAAGTATTATCGGAAGATGTTATAGATGATCGCCGTGTACGTTGTGCTGGCGGTCCTGGAAAATGTATGCGTGGTTCTCGGGCCGAATTCCCATTTTCATTTTCAAATGAAAAATTTTGAATGCCAACATCACGTGACTGAGTAGTTGTGCGACCGGTATCTAAGCCTGATATTGTAGAAGTTGGTCGTACTGATTGAGTTTCGGATAAGAGCTCATTTCGGCTAGTAGTTCTGTAAAGATCGATTACAAATATGAATATAATTTCAACAGAAATTATTTTATGTTGTTATTTGTTGTTTTCTTTTTCTTACCTGTTCGCCTCCTTTTGTTTATGTCGGACATGAGAGCGTCCCATTAGAAGTAATGCTATTAGTAGTAACAACAGCAATAATATAGCAATTGAACTAACTATCACCAATATGGGATTATTCTGAATGGAATCTATAAAACCGGAATCGGTACCACTATGGGTAGCTGGGGCTAATGGTGTTGCCTGAGGTTCTCTTAAATATGCTATAAATATAAGTTAAATTTTAGTGCATAAAACTAAGCTCATTGCTAAACCACTTACGTTCTGCCTTCATAAATATTTCCTTGCCCATTACCGTAGAGACCTCGGACTCGCTAACCAACTTCATGTCATTGGCCGCTGTTACAGCTAAGACAGGACGACCATTAACAAACACGGAATATATTAATTCTGTCTGATTGGCTAAAGGTCGTTCATCTCTAGGGGTGTAAAAAATAAAAACAATTTAGAACATTTTGTGCAGTATGTAAGTAATATTTATATACCCACATTTTTTCATTGATATCTTCATCATATAATATACCACTGACACCAGTCCCTATACTCCCTCTCTCCTGTACATCCTCTGCTGTTAGTTGCGTGACATTATGTATAATAACTCGCACCTGGTCGTCACGAAAGTTTAATGCTGACAATCGTTGAGCTTGCATTAGGGGCAGAGCATGTGTTTTCAGTGCTAAGGGAGTCAACAGCTTTTGAGATTTATCATTCTCTTGTATCAATTCCCAAGGTGCTACAGTCGCCACTTGTGATAAAATATCAGAAGATTCAGCCTGCATATCTGTTACAGGCGCTGGATAATCCAATAAAGTTGTATCTTCAAAATTTTCCTCAGACGAAGTCATCAATTCAGAATTTATATTAATGGGATAGGGAGATTGAGAATTTTTATTGAGAGGATCATTATTGACATGCATATCGATTAGTTCGCTGTCGTAATCGGAAGGTTCTAAAAAGCTCAATATATTATATATCAAAGTCATATAGTGAGTGTTACGATTAGATTACCTTTAGTTGTAGTCGATTCACTATGTCTCCTATCCCTGCCCGCCGTTGATATTGCAATTCCCGATATATGTTGAGCTCCATTTATGCCTAAATGTCTGGTTTGTTGTCTGCAATTAATTTAGCTTTAAGCTTAACTAAGTTTTTTATTTATTTTAAATATATCTATGTTTACCTTGTAAAAGCTAAACGATAAAGTCTTGCTAATTTCTCTTCTAATATGGGATTATCTTTTTGTGTATAAAACCCCGACATCACTGTCAATAGCCAGTAACGTCTATCGGTAGCTGAGTAATTTAATGGTGGCATATTTACCCCAGTCCAAGTGCCATCTATACCCACGGTACCTTCACCATAGCAATCCAAACAAATGGGAATATCAACTTCCTGTTGGACAAAATGTCATGTATTTAATAGGTGTTATTAAATCTTAGGTAATAATATGCATTGTATTGGTTTTAGTATTTAGTTAGTTAGTTAGTTAGTTGTTAAGTTAGTTAGTTAGTAAGTAAGTTAGTTAGTTAGTTAGTTAGTTCGTTAGTAGTTAGTTAGGTAGTTAGTTAGTTAGTTAGTTAGTTAGTTAGTTAGTTAGTTAGTTCGTTAGTTCGTTAGTTATCGTTCGTTAGTTAGTTAGTTAGTTAGTTAGTTCGTTCGTTTTAGTTCGTTCGTTAGTTTCGTTCGTTCGTTCGTTAGTTAGTTCGTTCGTTCGTTAGTTCGTTGTTCTTTCGTTCGTTTTAGTTAGTTCGTTCGTTCGTTCGTTCTTCGTTCGTTCGTTCGTTCGTTCGTTCGTTCTTCGTTCGTTTTCGTTCGTTCTTCGTTCGTTCGTTCTTCGTTCGTTCGTTCGTTAGTCGTTCGTTAGTTAGTTCGTTCGTTCGTTCGTTCGTTCGTTCTTCGTTCGTTCGTTCGTTCGTTCGTTCGTTCGTTCGTTCGTTCGTTCGTTCGTTCTTCGTTTCGTTCGTTTTCGTTCGTTCGTTCGTTCGTTCGTTCGTTCGTTTCGTTCGTTCGTTCGTTCGTTCGTTCGTTCGTTCGTTCGTTCGTTCGTTCGTTCGTTCGTTTCGTTCGTTCGTTCGTTCGTTCGTTAGTTAGTTAGTTAGTTTGTTAGTTGTTCGTTAGTCTAGTTAGTTAGTTAGTTAGTTAGTTACGTTAGTTGTTAGTTGTTAGTTGTTAGTTAGTTTCTTAGTTGTTTTCTTTCTTAGTAGTTAGTTTCGTTAGTTAGTTAGTGTTAGTTAGTTGTTAGTTAGTTTAGTTAGTTAGTTAGTTAGTTAGTTAGTATGTTAGTTAGTTATGTTATTTAGTTCAGTTGTTCGTTCGTTTGTTCGTTAGTTGTTAGTTCTTCTTTGTTTCTTTTTGTTAGTTGTTGTGTTAATCGTTTTCGTTGTACTCCAAATTATTACCATCCACATGACGGTAGCAACAACCGTTTCCGTCTTAACCACCACATCTTTTCCTTTACTTATGCCCGTGTGCACCTTTTTCAAATAATCAGGTGGACCATCACCGGATCCTGTCCAAAAGAAATCTTCCAAATGAACTTCTTCTCGTAATTCCGGATAATCATCGCCCAGGTCATCATCTAAATATATAAAATATTTAATTTAATCTTAATACATATAAAAATCACCTGTAGATACTATAATTAAATTATCTACTTGTATGTACATATGTATGTTTGTAACTATAGAAATAATTTTTGTGCATTTTTTATGCTTTATTTTGCAGACATTGTTTATTGACAAATCATATCTATTTGTTATAGTTGTTACCAACGTTATACAAATAGTTCTGCTTTTTTACATACAACTAAGTTTTTATTCGTTTTTTATTGTGCTAAAAAAGTTTGTTTGATCAATTTAGTAAATGAGGTCTTAATAGGTCTAAAGATTATCAGCATTACAAGAATTTATTTATTAATATTAATATTTATAAATTTTATTTTTATAAACGTACTTTAATTAAGTTCATACTTTATTGTTATTTACAAAAAACTATTATTTTTGAAAAAAAAATATTCTCAGGAATAATCCTTTATAAATTTTATTTAGAATTTTTCTTTTGAAACATAAGAAGTGAAAAACTTAATTAAAGTTATCATTAGAATACAGTTTAATATTGTGATTCTATTAGCTCAGTTATGTATATTTACATAAAAAATCAGTAATTGTATTAAATTTTATAGTAATATTTTCAAAATTAATCACTCACGCATAATAATTTTATTACGAGGTCAAACCATAGAATAGGTATCTACATAACAAATCACAATGAACAGATCACATCACAACAAAACACATACAAAAATTTATAGTTAATATGAAACAAAATAAGTTCTTTTACTATACGATTATGTCAGAATTTCGAATACATTTCATTTCTCTATTGTAACACCTTTATTACAATAGAGTAAAACTGTGATCAGTTATGTTTTATATCGCAAGCACTGGTCTAAAAAACAAGTTTTTGTTTGGTCCTAATAATAATTATCAGGACAAGCATGGCTGCTAAAGTTCATATACTTATATCAGAGTAGTATGGGGGCTAATATGTATAAATAGGTTTTGTTATTGAGCCAAGTAACATGTAAACCATATACATATGTATATTATCGAAATAATTTGAAAATTGCGACAAGAATTTCATGAACGGTCTCAATGGCTTAAACGATTCCAAAAAATGCTTCTGATTCGTTTGTACCGATTAAGATAGCTGTTACAAACATCAATGCAAAGGCATAATATAATACTCACCCCACTAAGATGGTGCAACAACTACAAACATTGTGGACTGTTTCTAGACAATCATTCTCAGGCCAGATAATTTGAATGAAGTCACATTTACATGCTGTCCGACTTTACTACCCAGTTGGAAATTTTGTCTTAACGACAATGTCATGTGACGAATTCAGCACGGACTCTGACATGTCATGAAGTATGTCCAAAAGACGTCTTAAAGAAATATCCAACTGGGTACTTTTCATTAAATTTTAAAATAGTTAACGGCCAAATTTAAAATTTTTAAAATTTTATCAAAATGCATTCCCATAAAATATTCTAGTGTCCGATACCCAGTATACGAGCACTAATAAAAAGTTATTTGCCAATTTTGTTCTACATTTTTGGATTTAACTTAATCTTATGAGGTCATAAGATTTTTTTTAATAAAATTTTATTTGATATTAATATTGAGTTGAGTATTGTGGTGAATCAAGTTAATAAAAGTAAAGCAAAAACAACCTATGATATTTAGAAATTACTAAATTAAAGCAAAAATATAATTTGTGAACAGAAACATACCAGAAATTACATATTTTTATGTATCAAGAATGTAGTATTAGAAGTGTTCAGAAATATATGTAGATTTTGCTCAGACGAGTTTTATTTTAATTAGTAGTGTCTTAAGCTTACTGGTGTAAAATTTTAGTCAAATCGAAATATCCATGGACGTTACTTAGCGAAGCCCAGAGTTTAAAATCCCAACACTCGACCGAAGACAGCAAAATTAGGAACAATTCTATCAAGGATAAGTGTTCACCTATCTTAAATTCAAAACATTTATTCCAAAATATTACCGTTTTAAAAGTATCATGAATGTCCATGAACATTATGACAATTTTAAAAGTATCCAAGGGCACTATGACAATTTTATGACCAAAATATAATCATTTTTAAAGAAATAAATAAAAGTCGTATTTTTATACCCTACATCACTTTAGAGGGGAGGGCATATATATGTATGTATATATATTGGGTTTGTGCTGATGTTTGTAACGCACAATAATATTGGTCCTATACCCACCTTAAAGTATACCAATCGGCTTAGAATCATTTTCTGAGCCGATTTAGCTATGTCCGTCCGTCTGTCCGTTAATGTTGAAGATAATTCAATGAAATTTGGTTCATGATCTTCTATTGTCCCAGGGACGAAGTCTATTGAAAATAGTTACGATCGGTTCATTATTTCACCTACCCCCCATACAACTGAACCCCTGAATAGGGCTTGTAAACCTTGTAATCAAACTACAGGTCGCAATTTTGAAGATAATAAGATAAGAAATTTGACACGCGATCTTCTATGGTACCAGAGACTAAGTCTATTGAAAATGGTTAACATCGGTCCATTATCTCACCTAGCCCCCATACAACTGAACCCCTGAATAGGGCTTGTAAACCTTGTAATCAAACTACAGGTCGCAATTTTGAAGATAATTTTGGCACACGATCTTTTATGGTACCGGAGACGAAGCCTGTTGAAAATGGTTAACATCGGTCCATTATTTCACCTAGCCCCCATACAACTGAACCGGACTAATAGGGCTTTTAAGTTCATAATTATGTTTAATATACTCGTATCTCGACAAAAAGCTGCAAAACCAAGTTCTATACTAGGCTTGATAACCCTCATGAATTTTTTAATTATAGGGTCTCATTTGACCATAACCCTTATTCAAAGCCCCCTTCAAAATTCGACTTAAATGTCCACAATTTTATTTAACAATAAATGGCTGAAGTATATCTGAGGCAAGGTACAATTCAACTTAAATGCTTTATTATGAATACAAAATCACATTTTTTTTGTAACAGGTGTAGGGTATTATATGGTCGGCCTCGCCCGATTATAATTTCTTACTTGTTTATTCAATATTTTACACTTTACAAATGAATTCCAGCACGATTTCCTACTATACAATTTGTTTTAAATTTTACACCAGTAAATTTTAGACAAAATAAGACGTAGCTGAGTCAAATCAATATTTTTGAATACCTCTAATGTTATATAGTGTTCAACGTACCATGACTTATCTGTATCAGCGGCAAACCAACTTCCACGGCGCGACAATTATTAGAGAATTTCAATAATATTCCACAAATAACAATAAAAGTGTTCACACAATTTTCAGAAATCATTACAATTGTTTGGACATAGAACGCCAAAAACCAGCCGAAAAAATAACGCTTTATTTATTAAAAATAACTACGTAGACTTTGAGTTTTATTTTATTTATTTTCAACTCAATTCCAAAATTGTTGACGTCAAAAACATTTATAATGACATGAAGTGTTGGTGTAAATGTTTGTAATTTGTTTCCTCAACTTAATTGTCATATTATGTACTCGTATGAATAGTTAAAAGAATTAGTGTTATAATAAACTTTTTCACAACTTGGTAAAGGAAAATATTCAAAAAGAATTTTTTAATTCATTTTATTTTCAAAACTGTAAATCATTTTTGTAATATAAGAAAACACTTATTTGCACAATAACTTTAAAAGTTTTATCACACGAACAAAAATTATAATTTTTTTAATACTTTGGTTTAAAACTATTTTTTATACAGTTTTTTTATTGCACCAAAATTTTCACATTCTTATGAAATGTATTTTATCCGTTTTAAGTTTCATTTAAGTTTTTTTCTAACTCTCTCCGCCAAATGTTGTTCGAAAACTGTTTGGCTCAATCATTCATTGGTGCCCCTTTAGTTCGTTAGTTAGTTGTTTGGTGGCATATTATTGTTCGCTGATGGTGGTAGTTTATTAATTTCCCTATAGTCTGACTTCCTCTTTGTATAAACAATAAGTTTTTCGCTCTTATTGTTTGGTTTAGAAAATTTCTCTGTTTGGGCCGTATTTAGTGTGGTCAGTTACCTGTGGCAACGATACTATAATATTTTGAAAATTTCTACAAAAAATAAAAAAAAAAACAAAAAAACAAAAAACATGCTTGCAAATAAACAACAATAACTATTGTTTAATTTGTAAACCCATCTGAGGAGTGTGTGTATTTTACTAACTACTACATACTTCAGTTTGTTTACAATTTTTTTTGTTCTCTTACCCTTACATACTTAGTTCAAGTTCTTTGTAAAGTATTTTGCAAATTTCATTATGACTCTGTTATCGTTTTATTTCCGCCAAAATGTGATGTTTTTTATATGATTTAAATTAAATCGAAATTAATGATTTTTTAGTAAGAATGACTATTATTACAGGGTATGACATAAAATGTGTATGAATAATGTTTTTAAACGCAAAATCAAAAAGGATAAGAATTATTAATTCCGTTTGTAAAACATCAATGGCACATAGTATATAAGTATATATCACATGACCATTAGGGTGGCCCCAAAAGGAAAGTGTTTCCGCCAAAAATTTAAATTTAGTTTATTCTATGATATTATTTCTAAAATTTCTGTCCTGACATCAATATTTGATCAGCTATAGCAAAGTATGACATGGTCCTTTTTTAGGATATTCATGATTTTTTTCATATTTCTTCCAAAGACAACGTTTTGGTGTTATAAGAAACATCCTTGAGATACGCTCGCAATTACATATCGAAAATGTTTGTTTAATTGCAAACTTTAATTTTAATTTGCAACATTGGCACCTTATTTGTCCTCCATACAAGAGGGGCATCCTAATGTATATTATATATATATTAGTATATTATACATATATTTCTTGGTTCTTATAAAATAAACAAGTAAGAAATTATAGTCAGGCGAGGCCGACCTTATAATACCCTACACCTACTAAATGTGATTTAGTTTTCATAATAAAGCATTTAAGTTGAATTGTACCTTGCCTCAGATATACTTAAGCCATTTATTATTGAATAAAATTTTGGACATTTAAGTCAAATTTTGAAGGGGGCTATGGTCAAATGAGACCCTATAATTAAAAAATTCATAAGGGTCATCAAGGCTAGTATAGAACTTGGTTTTGCAGCTTTTTGTCAAGATACGAGTATATTAAACATAATTATGAACTTAAAAGCCCTATTCGTCGGGTTCAGTTGTATGGGGGCTAAGTGAAATAATGGACCAATGTTAACCATTTTCAATAGGCTTCGTCTCCGGTACCATAGAAGATCATGTACCAAATTTCATTGAATTATCTTCAAAATTGCGACCTGTAGTTTGATTACAAGCTTTACAAGCCCTATTCAGGGGTTCAGTTGTATGGGAGCTAAGTGAAATAATGGACCGATTTTAACCATTTTCAATAGGCTTCGTTCCTGGGACAATAGAAGATCATGTTTCAAATTTCATTGAACTATCTTCAAAATTGCGACCTGTAGTTTGATTACAAGGTTTACATGGACGGACGGACGGACGGAAGGACAGACGGACGGACATATCTAAATCGACTCAGAAAATTATTCTAAGCCGATTAGTATATTTTAAGGTGAGTATAGGACCAATATTATTGAGCGCTACAAACATCAGCACGAACCCAATATTATACCCTTCCCACTAAAGTGGTGTAGGGTATAAAAATATTTCATTCAATAAATGAAAAGTTTGATTCAATTTTCAGATTAACAAATTTTAATAAGAAAACTGACAGCGTCATCTAGCGGTTAGTAGTGACATAATGGTTTTGAACCATACTACTAGCTGCTGTTAGTAAATAAAACATATAACATTTTTCTTTAACAGTGAAACTTATTATTTTTTTTATAAATAACAGAAGTGGCGATAATAATAAGTAAAGAACATTTATATTCAGCCAGACGGACGGACGCATAAAGTCATTCTGAATAAATCACAATGATCTCAATTAAAAAAATTCTTGGGCGGTACAATCATCAGTGTAAACTTATATTATTACCTAATTAAAGTAGTACCTTGATGCTATTATGTTAAGTACCTAGAAACTGTATGGTTTATTAAGGTCCTATACTCTGTATACTATGTATATGCATATGATTCTCTTCTGATAAAGAAGGTTTTCTAAAAGGGGGACATTTCCTGGGCTTAAAACTACAATAGGGTTATTTCCGGTTGGTTACTGGTTATTTTCTTGTAGGTTTAAAAAAATAATCATTAAAATACAAGATCTGTAAAGTTTTTGGCAGCAAATATAAGTTTGTCATGCGATATATGTCTATCTAATAATATATTTAAGATACATCTATTTAACTCGTTTTATAATCATTGTTCTAAAATACTGTCATTTAATTTACTCTGAAAGTTTATTTTATTTATAAGTGTGCCAATAAAATAAACTGATTGTTAAATGTCAAATAAGAATGTTGGTAAATTATGCAAAAACTGATATAAATAATTGTTATTGTTAATATGTAATGAACTTAGCGGTAACAAAATAACTAAATAAATCAATGCACAGAGGGACTGAAACTAATCAAATAATGTTGTAAGTTATCTATTTGTAAACATGGTAATGACGTACTTACTCAAGACCTTATTTTTCAATGACTACTACATACAGCTTGCATAACTTAGAAGGAGACTAGTAATGACTTACAAATAATACGACTATAGCGATGAAATTCGACATAAACGAGTTCTATACAAAACAAAATCTACGTACAAAATCTTATGAGTATCGGTTCATAATTGACCCTACCCGCATATAAGGTCCCCTTCAGAAAATTACTCTTACGCTCATGACTTGAAAATACGAGTAGTACGATGAAATTCGGCACAAATAAGTCTTAGACGAACAGAAATTTTTCTATTAAATTTTACGACAATCGGTCCATAATGGCCCTCCGCCCACATATGTATGTATGTTCACGGTTTAGATTGTGTTGATAGGAGGATGTATAATACATCGAATCCGAAGAAATACACCTAGGCCACTATCTGGCCTGTTGTGCGCTCCTTTTCATGAAAAGAAAAAAATTGTTCACTGAGTATATTATTTTTCAATGTTCAGAAACTCAGTTTCCTGGATTTCTGTAATTTCCAATCAGTGTTAGTCAGGAATGTTATTTCCGGAATAACATCACTTCTAAGATACTTAAATCTAACTTCGACGAATGCTTGACAGTGACAAAGATAGTGCTAGAGAGTTTCACTGTCGTCTCCACATGCTCTACATTCGTCTGAATCAGAATACGTGCCATCATACTAAGTTCAGACTAAGTTCTCTCCTATAGGATCTTCGTGGTTCTACCCACCGTTTCACCGCGTCGAATGGTTTTGCGTTTGTCAGGTTAACTACCTCTAGCTCCCTTCCCTTTAAAGCTATTACATTCGCCCTTTCGTTGCCGACTACTCTCGAGTGGCCTGGTACCCATATAATGTAAATCTTACCTCTAGGAGAGTATTCAGTTAAAGCTTTCTTACAATCCAATACGGCCTTAGATTTAATTCTAACACCTGGTATCGCCCTATATGCCTTCTGGCTGTCGGTAAATATATTAATCTGCTTGTGGGCACCATATTTATTCTAATCCAATTTACACATTCCGTTATTGCTCGGACTTCTGTCTGGAAACTTGTGTTACACTGAAAAAAATCCATGCCTAATATATACGAAAAATGTCGTACATTGTACGAATCGTTCGTTGTTTCGCACCACGAAATTCCTTCGTAATATATACGAAATTGTACGAAATATTTTAGTATAATGCAAAATAATCTTGGAAAAATTAATTTACATAAATTGAAAAAAGTGAATTTTGAATAAATATAGTAAAATTTACGAAATATTAATTTATGCAAACATTTTTGTTCATTTTAAAATAATTTTTCTAATTTTAGTTAAAAAATATTCTCCACACGAATTTAAAATTTTTTTTTTTATGAAAATAGTTCGTGAATTATATTATACTTTTTCCTAATTTTTATAAAAATGTTGTAGTTTTATTTAACGATAATATAATTAATATCATTATGTTTAATTTCGCTAAAATTTAAGAAAAAAAATATTACGAAAGGTTTTCGTACTTTCGTAAAAATAGAAAAGGGTCTTTTTAAATAATATTTCGTATTATACTCGAAATTTTTGTAAATATTACGAAAAAAGAAGTTACGAAATTTTTTTTCGTAAAGTTGAGCATGGATTATTTTCAGTGTATGATTAGGTTCATGGTTTAAAAATTTAACAAAAATATTTTGTTTTAAAAAATTAATATTTTGTTGATTTAAAAGAGTTCGGTCCATAATTGACTTAAACCGTATTCCAAATATCACCCTGATGTTGTGTTTACCTAATTCCCTACTTATAAGCGAGTGCCTACAATATCGTCACCGTGTTAAAATATTGACTTCCTATTGAGACTAAAAGCAATTATGAATTAAACTATTATAAGACTGATTTATTTTATAGAATAGAGCCAATTGGACCGTTTTTTTTTTAATTTCCACTACCAAATGAGAAGAGAATATTTCAACAAAGTTTCTGCTCACGTTTAGAGACTATCGACCCTTCAACATACATACATATGTACCTACATATTGTCAATACATCGTTACTAGCTGAAAATCATATATTTGGACGTTCATGATGATTTTTAATTCAAATCTCGACTGCTCAATAGTTTTTAGTCTGATGCCGTAGTTGTTGAAAAATTTAAGGTCAAAGTTTAACTTTTAACAGGTTTTTACTTTATAAATTCTACAATAGATTTTACTAAAACAGTTATATTACAACCGGTTTCACTAGAATCATTGTTAATTCTGATCAAAAATAGAAAATATAAAATTTTTCCTTATGCCACGCCTACAATTATCAATATTTTGTTACCTTACCGTGATGATTAGATATCATTGACGGAATAAGAAAATATATTTATATACATATTTGACAGTCATTGCTAAAATATGTATGTTTACTACTAAATATGTTTTCTTATCTTTATTACGATATTTATCTAACTTTATGTGACAATGATGATGCTGCATAATCACGAAAATCTAGTCATATGTTAACTAATTTGTCAAAAACTCACATAAATTTACACGAATTTTGCAATAAGCTAATTTTTTAATACAACTACAGAACTTTTTGCTAAAAAAGTAAAAAAAAATAATTGGCAAATTTGAAATGATTATGTAAATTATTGACTTCGATATTTGAATTTGAATACTACTGATCACTTCTACTATGTTTTTTATTAAACTTGGTAGTCATGCAAAAATCAAAGAAAAAGATTTGTAATTTAATTATAAAAAAAATATGTAAATAACAATTGAATAAACGACTAAAAAAAAATAAAAAAACCTGAACTTGAACTTTCAATGCACATGATTTAATTGCTAATAGTACGATTTAAGCAAAGTTATTTTATTAACATAATTATAATTAAAAATGTGCTTACGAACATTTTACGGGTGATATGGGTGGTCTTCGTGAAATAAATGTTAACTACATATAAGTACATCATACATATTTTGTATTTCTTCAAAATAAAATTATAACATAAAAATTAACAATTACTCCGAATTATTCTCATATTCACGAGTAATACTTATACAGATACATACACATACATGCATACTTACATATATTGATTCATAGGTTTTCCATAACATGAGATTTTGAAAATCCTATTTTAATCAATAGATGAACATAGAATCCACACCTTTCCCCGTATGAATCTACAAATTTTGTCAAAATTTTAAAAGAGATCATAAACTTATTTATTTATGGTAAAGAGTATAAAAACACATAATTATAATATTAACTGTTATTTAACCAGCTGTTAACCAACCATTGACTTTAGTGTGTTAGCACTCAATTTACGATTTTTAAGCATATAACGGGGCTTATAGCCATCCTTATCGGCGGTATACATAGTTACAGTATCGGTGTCAGTCTTTTCATCGTACACTGAATAGGTACCCATAACCACTAATTCTTCTTCGGGTGTGCCGGGGTTAATAACCATGCCCACTTCTTCACGTTTGCTGCCATCTGGTTCTTCTAAACTGAAAAGTTATATAGTTAATAAAAAAATTAGATAAAAAATAAGATTGGTTATTAATTAAAAAAAAACTTACTTTAGACGATAACCCTCCATGGTGGGCATAAGTTGGTATTTCTCTTGTAAAATGGTGGGTATAAATATGGCGTCCAATAAACCGCCAAAAGTGGTTCCCGTAAGAACTATCATTAAGAGGCTTAAAAAAATCTGAAATAAAGAAATTAATAAAGTTAAAGTTTATTTAAGAATTATATTTTTGGTCGAAAGCCTGAACTAAAATCGTTTTAACTTTGTTGAAATATGATTAATTAAAAAATAAGAAGTCATCACTCATTTTCGCAAGTTAATTTTTAATTGAAATCTTGAGAAAATTAAAATTTCTTGCTTAAAAAATCCGTTTTTTAGGTCGAAAAGGAAGCTCATTTTTCTATCACACTTTCTTTGTTCCAAAATCAACCTATTTGGTTGAAAATATATTCGTCCTATACCCAGCTTAAAGTATAACAAACGGCTTAGAATTGTTTTCTGAGTGTCCGTCCGTCTGGCTGGCTGGTTGTCCATATATATCTCGTACGCAAGTACGGATCGCAATTTTCAAGATAATTGGATAAAATTTGGCACATACACCTTTTTTCACCTAGCCCCCATACAATAGAACCCCTCGAAAAGGGCTTTTGAGCTCATAATTATGTTTTATACAAGCCTAATGACCTTGCTAAATTTCGTAAATATCGGGCCTCTAAACACTAATATTGCGATGAAATTTAACAAAATATATATATACATTTTATCGGGATCGGTCCATATTTGACCATAGCACACATATTAATATCGGAAACAAAGTAATATTGAAGATAAATACTTTATTATGAAAAATAAATCACATTTAATATTCATAACTGGTGTAGGGTGTTATATGATCGGTCACGGCGGAGTATACATTCTTGCTGTCCCGCTGTTTAACTTACAAGATGCAAAAACATGACTTCCGTTTACGACTCTATTAAGTCGGCAACAGCATCTAGAGAAGTAATGGGTAGATCGATTCTTACTAACAAGACACACAATTTCCGGACAAGGAAACTCAATTGTGTCATTTGTACAAGATACCTTACATCCATCGCCTTTTAACCTAGAACACTTCACATTCATCCGACACACTCATTGTGAAAAACATCCGAAACTCTCATATACCCCTACATCCATCACGTATCATATACACTTGACACTAACTCATTTCCAACTCATGGTCCAACCGTCACTCGTCTGTGGGGAATCTGTTGTCTCGGCGACTTCACAGTCTTTAACCAACATTATCTCCATCAACATACTCTTTATAGTCCCGGCAGACATTCAAATGGAAGTGATGTTTTTACATCCCGAAAGTTAAACAACGGGGCAGCAATGGTCAGAGATTGAATAGCTCGAGGATTGAAAAATTCCATAATTTTTTTTTTTTTTTTGTTTCTTAATTTAATGGAAAACTTCCAGTAACGATCACTTCAGTAATAATATTATTCAATTAGGTTTTATTTGATTATTTTTTTAATAGTTTCCTCCACGAAGATTTCCTCACAACTCACCAATTTAACAGGTGTCATTTTTTATTGCTTATTTTTAAATATTCTAAGAAATTGTCGATTAAATGTGTCTGATTGTTTTAACAACACAATGAAGACTGATTTCTTAAGAATAGTAAGACCTAAAACAATAGTTTGAAAACTGCATTTTCTTACAACTTCTTGACATGACGAAGACTCTTAAAGTGCAATTTGTAAAATAAAATACAAAGATTTTACAAATATTCATTCTGAATGCTGTTGACATTTCTGTGTTAAACTTAAGAATATTGCATTTATTTGTTTTAATTAGTCACTATCATTACAATGATAGTTATTAACATAATAAATAATAATGATGAATAATGTCGGAAACGTTAAAATGCTTAATAAATCTGATAAATTGATTACGGCTAAAGTAATTTTTTGTTGTAATACGAATATTTACATATATTTACTACAAGACATTTATAACTTAAAATTCAGTTATCAATGTATAATAAGTCTTACATATCGTCGTACCTATTTTAAGAAATAAAATTTATAAGTAATTAATCTTTACTATTTAAATCACAGTCTATAGTCTAGTGTATAGTGTAGTCTATAGTCTAGTCTATAGTCTAGTATATAGTTTAGTCTATAGTGTAGTCTGTAGTCTAGTCTATAGTCTAGTCTATAGTGTAGTCTATAGTGTAGTCTATAGTCTAGTCTGTAGTCTAGTCTATAGTCTAGTCTATAGTCTAGTCTATAGTCTAGTCTATAGTATAGTCTATAGTCTAGTCTATAGTCTAGTCTATAGTCTAGTCTATAGTCTAGTCTATAGTCTAGTCTATAGTCTAGTCTATAGTCTAGTCTATAGTCTAGTCTATAGTCTAGTCTATAGTCTAGTCTATAGTCTAGTCTATAGTCTAGTCTATAGTCTAGTCTATAGTCTAGTCTATAGTCTAGTCTATAGTCTAGTCTATAGTCTAGTCTATAGTCTAGTCTATAGTCTAGTCTATAGTCTAGTCTATAGTCTAGTCTATAGTCTAGTCTATAGTCTAGTCTATAGTCTAGTCTATAGTCTAGTCTATAGTCTAGTCTATAGTCTAGTCTATAGTCTAGTCTATAGTCTAGTCTATAGTCTAGTCTATAGTCTAGTCTATAGTCTAGTCTATAGTCTAGTCTATAGTCTAGTCTATAGTCTAGTCTATAGTCTAGTCTATAGTCTAGTCTATAGTCTAGTCTATAGTCTAGTCTATAGTCTAGTCTATAGTCTAGTCTATAGTCTAGTCTATAGTCTAGTCTATAGTCTAGTCTATAGTCTAGTCTATAGTCTAGTCTATAGTCTAGTCTATAGTCTAGTATCTGTATATAGTCTAGTCTAGTCTAGTCTATAGTCTAGTCTATAGTCTAGTCTATAGTCTAGTCTATAGTCTAGTCTATAGTCTAGTCTATAGTCTAGTCTATAGTCTAGGTCTATAGTCTAGTCTATAGTCTAGTCTATAGTCTAGTCTATAGTCTAGTCTATAGTCTAGTCTATAGTCTAGTCTATAGTCTAGTCTATAGTCTAGTCTATAGTCTAGTCTATAGTCTAGTCTATAGTCTAGTCTATAGTCTAGTCTATAGTCTAGTCTATAGTCTAGTCTATAGTCTAGTCTATAGTCCTAGTCTATGTCGAGTCTATAGTCTAGTCTATAGTCTAGTCTATAGTCTAGTCTATAGTCTAGTCTATAGTCTAGTCTATAGTCTAGTCTATAGTCTAGTCTATAGTCTAGTCTATAGTCTAGTCTATAGTCTAGTCTATAGTCTAGTCTATAGTCTAGTCTAGTCTAGTCTAGTCTAGTCTATAGTCTAGTCTATAGTCTAGTCTATAGTCTAGTCTATAGTCTAGTCTATAGTCTAGTCTATAGTCTAGTCTATAGTCTAGTCTATAGTCTAGTCTATAGTCTAGTCTATAGTCTAGTCTATAGTCTAGTCTATAGTCTAGTCTATAGTCTAGTCTATAGTCTAGTCTATAGTCTAGTCTATAGTCTAGTCTATAGTCTAGTCTATAGTCTAGTCTATAGTCTAGTCTATAGTCTAGTCTATAGTCTAGTCTATAGTCTAGTCTATAGTCTAGTCTATAGTCTAGTCTATAGTCTAGTCTATAGTCTAGTCTATAGTCTAGTCTATAGTCTAGTCTATAGTCTAGTCTATAGTCTAGTCTATAGTCTAGTCTATAGTCTAGTCTATAGTCTAGTCTATAGTCTAGTCTATAGTCTAGTCTATAGTCTAGTCTATAGTCTAGTCTATAGTCTAGTCTATGTCTAGTCTATAGTCTAGTCTATAGTCTAGTCTAGTCTAGTCTAGTCTAGTCTATAGTCTAGTCTATAGTCTAGTCTATAGTCTAGTCTATAGTCTAGTCTATAGTCTAGTCTATAGTCTAGTCTACAGTCTAGTCTATAGTCTAGTCTATAGTCTAGTCTATAGTCTAGTATATAGTCTAGTCTATAGTCTAGTCTATAGTCTAGTCTATAGTCTAGTCTATAGTCTAGTCTATAGTCTAGTCTATAGTCTAGTCTATAGTCTAGTCTATAGTCTAGTCTAGTCTATAGTCTAGTCTATAGTCTAGTATATAGTCTAGTCTATACTCTAGTCTATAGTCTTGTATATAGTCTAGTCTATAGTCTAGTCTATAGTCTAGTCTATAGTCTAGTCTATAGTCTAGTCTATAGTCTAGTCTATAGTCTAGTCTATAGTCTAGTCTATAGTCTAGTCTATAGTCTAGTCTATAGTCTAGTCTATAGTCTAGTCTATAGTCTAGTCTATAGTCTAGTCTATAGTCTAGTCTATAGTCTCGTCTATAGTCTAGTCTATAGTCTAGGCTATAGTCTAGTCTATAGTCTAGTCTATAGTCTAGTCTACAGTCTATTCTATTGACTAGTTTATAGACTAGTTTATAGACTAGTATATAGTCTAGTCTATAGTCTATGCCATAGTTAAGTCTACAATCTAGGCTATAGTCTATATTAATCTAGTCTAGTCTAAAGTCGAGTATGTAGTCTAATCTGTAGACTAGTGTAGTATAGTCTATATTCCGTAGATCATTAAATAACTCTCCAACTGAAAAAAATGTCAAAATCAATCACATTTCCTATGAAAAATAAATTTTTATATAAGAAACTTAAAATTGGCCGCAGTTCATTAAATAAAGCTGGAATTGAGAAAGTAGTAAAATATCTTTGACCAAAAACATTGGGCACTTTTTTGGCAACTTATAAAAAAAAATCATACAGTGCCATCTAACGGTTGGTAGTTACAGAACACAGTCAAATGTACATATATAATAAATTCTGTTAAAATGCTGCTTTAACAGTGTTGATTACAAATAATAAATGCTCTTATAGTATTTTTGTAAGCCGGTTCAAGTATTTTATATTGATAAATCTTTCACTAAATTTAGTTAGTTCTTTCCATGTTGGTGTTGGTGTATGCATGATGTTATTCTGTAACAGAAATTAATACAACAAGATTTAAACAATTTATTGACGAAAACCTAATTAGCTGAAAGAGGCAAATATGGAGCGATCTCCGTAAAAGTTTGTGGATTTATTGGTGGCGTGTCATTATGTCCAGTGTCATGATGTCCATGGACACATTTTGAACATAAGCGTCATTTAAACTCTGGGGTATTCCGAATAACGGCTTCGTTAAAGTAAGTTTTTTTTTGATAAATGGACTATATCACATTGCTCATGGACATTGCTAGAAAGACGTCCATTGATACTATGACTCAATTTAGTGTGTCATAACGTCCATGAACATGAAATGAAATGATTCTAAGCCGATTAGAATACTTAAAAGTTAGCCATTTTCTTAGCCATTTTCTAGCCTTCTTTTTTAAGCATTTAAGTCTTTTCTGTACCTTTTTAATGTCCGGTTTAGCCTTTTATTCCTGAAACTCCTGTCAACATTGGTTATTACTTTAAATCAACATTAAAACATGAAAAATTTAATAAATATGTATAAAATGACATTTATTAATTGCAAATGCATAAATACTTTTTAAATGTTAGTATAATTATTACCAAACTTGTTTAAAATATTCCTAATTAATACTTTTTTTTAAATAAAGTAAATTAAACTAATGAAGCGTTTATTATTAGTGATTTTTTTATTATTAGTATTTTATTTAGTATTTTAAAATTTTATAATGGACATGTACCTATGAACAATAAATAAATTACAACATGCATATATATTATTTTTTTCATATTTGTGAAGATTTGTTATCACAATATTCATAAATGATTCAAAATTGCTGTAATTTTTTCCATAAATTATTTTCTTCTAAACAGTTTATGGAGCATATTGCCTGCAAAACGGATGAGTCAGTTTGACTCACATGTCGTTCCATACATTGTTTACACTCGAACTACATATTAAAATTTCAACTTTGTTTTTTATTAATATTTTTCAAATAATAATGTGCCAAAAAGCTTCACATATCCTCTCCTTCTATGTATGTATTTTACAGTATATCATTTTAAATGTTTCTAATGACGTGAATTTTTAAACACATTAGTTGTGGTTTAATTACTTTTAAATTATTTACAAAATTTCTTATGAATGAAAAAAAAAATACTTAAAAAGTTATTTGTTTATATCTTAATTAATTGCACATCATTTATTATTTATTTCATAAAATTTTGCACATTTTACAAATTGTTATTTAATTATAAAGCAAATGTTAAAATAGCTATTAAATTCGGATTTGGTGTTAAGAATAAGGTGAAGTAATATCGCAGCAATGAATAGGAATAATAACAAGTAAAAGTGTTATATTCGGCTGTGCCGAATCTTATATACCCATCATCAAATCATTGATAAAAAGAATGCTTCTTTATAAATAAACTTTAATATTTAAGAATCTATGCTTTTGTTATTATCGAAACAATTTTCTAATTTTTGGAATATTTGGAAGAAGGCCTTTAATGAGGGCTTAAGTATGGACCGTACTCTTCAGAATTAAAAATATTCATTTTTAAAAACAAATCGTTTTTGTCAAATTTTTTATGGGGGTAGAGTCAATTCTGGACTTATCCTCATCGGTTTATACAACAATTTAATAGCTGTATTCGAATCT